ATACAAGTTAAATAAAATGCAATTTTGTTCTAGTTACAACTATTTCTTTCAGTAAGACTTCTGGCATACTACTCAATGGGAAAGCGCCTATTCTTGCTTTAAGACCAGCTAAAACAACACAAGACTATTCATCTTCCGTATTTTTGAGGATTCTTCATTCACCAGACATTTCCAAGACACTGTCTTATTCTTTGTCTCTTTTACTAATGAATTCATTTTAGAGTTTTGAAACCTTCTTTGAACTGTAGATCTCCTGGCAGCAATCTCTGACTTTGTTCCCTATTTCCCCTCCCCTTTTGAGGATACCCCGTAAAGAATTCTGGTGATATAAGTGGCTTATACTCTCTTTTCTGGTATTTTGGTTCGTCTTTACAAAAATTCTGCCCCACGGGAGGTTTTCATATTCATAGATTTGGAAACTGTTCAAAATTTTCCATAGGGTGTAAGCAAGAAAAAATAAGCAAATCTCTAGGTCCTAGCATCATTTCTCACCCTGGTGCCTTCTGTCTCTGTTTGATATCACTTTGATAAGTGATATTAAAGTTAATGTCCAGTACCCCTGATGTGGAGACATCATGGGAAGAAATGTGTTGTGCCCTATTTAAATAAAATTCACATGAACATTTTCAGAAGCAAGTTCACATTCTTAACTTAGGAAAAATTATATATCCCACTTTTGCTGCATTTTAGTCCTAATGAAAATAGAATTAAAGCATGCTCAATTAAAGTCTTTGTCAAAGAAATATATCATTAATATATTAATTATGGAATTATCAAACTTAATCATTATTGATTGTTAATTAATTATTATTGTCCTTTTTCTTGTTAAAATATAAACCAAGACAACACGCTGTATACCAGGCACTGGAGATTGTTATAGTTAAAAACCAATAATATATATATACATACATACATATACATACATACATACACATACATACATACATATATATATATATGTATGTTTCCTAAATTTTTGGATTTCTTCCTCCCATATTTGGGCCGACAGGGTGCATCAAAAAAACACTCAAGATATGTGTGTGTGTGTGTGTGTGTGTGTGTGTGTGTATGTATGTGTGTGCGTGTGTGTATATATAAAAATAAAATAAAGTCTTTTCCACAAAGGAATAGAACAAAACTAAAAGGGAAAACCAGGGAAGGTCTAGTTCTGTAAAATCCTACCTTCCCAAAACATTAAGATACTCTTAATGTTTTGTCTGTTTCTGTACCAAAAAGCAAGTGGAGTACATGCCCCCTTCCACTGCATGTTTATGTTCTCTTAATTTCTGTTCTGAAAATGAATGTTCATTGTCCATAAATCAACCAAAAGGCGGCGCTGTTGATTTGATTCAAGCATGCTTCCTAATCTACCACCAGCAGAAAAAGAAGTGCTTCATGTATATCTCAGAAATCCTCCTGCTGATTTTCTATCATGTTTTGTCTCCATGATCTCAAAATTGATTGCTCAAAGCAAACCCGAGTTTCATTCCAACACAATTTTTGATCTAGAAACATTATTTCTTCTAGTTCCTATCCATATACTCTCTCAACATGCAACTTATTATTGATGATTATTATAAAAAGAAATAAGACTTCCTTGTTGACTTTTTGTGCTAATTAGTTTTCTCAAAGCTTGAATGTGTATTACTAATACTGAAAACCCTAATGAATTTCCTGTTAGCATTTACACTTCATAGTGTGGCTATAGTTATGTCAGATTGCAGGTATTACATATGGGGCTGACAATTCAGTCCTACAAGTAGTGAATTCAGAGGAGTTACTCCCAGACAAATTGGAGTCACGATATATTTGAATACTGCTTAAATTGTGAAGAAAAAGAAACTTTTGGCCAATTCCAATGTTTCTCAGTTTACCTTACATTCAGTCAACATCACATTTCTGAAACAGTAGTAAAAAATTCTAAAGAAAAAAATACCCCATCAACCCTGGTTGAATTTTAAATCCTATTTGGATTCACAGGACATTCTAACCCATAAAAATGGCAGAGGCTGAACTTACACTGCAATTGAGAAGAATTTCATCCAAACCAAGCCTCAAAATTAGAAAAAAAAATCCCATAGGCCAGTGGTTCTCAAAGTGTAGACTCGGGACCCTTTGGGGTCCCTGAGACCCTCTCAAGGGGTCAGCGAAGAGAAATAAATGTTCTAAAATGTCTCTGTTTTAAATCATTACATAAAATATCAACAGATATATCCTACAGAAGCCAAAGCTGTCTGGGGTCCTCATATGTTGTTAAGAATGTAAAGGTAACCCACAACCAAAATATTAGAGAACTGCTGATGTAGGTCATTGAATCCACTTTTTTTACTTGATACAATAAATCCATACCTAAGTATTTTTATATACTGAACCTAGTAAAGCACATAATTGGCTTCAATTATAAATCAATAGAATTGTTCCTAAGAAATTCCTCGTAATGTTCAATTTGTTGATATTTCTCCAATATAGATTCCCATCAGATCTATATTTGTCCTCTGTGACAACAAACATTAAACCGGATGGATCAACAGAAAGTCATTTGACTTGGAAAACTCTTGCCGATCCAAGCCACGACAGCAAACAGGAATATCCTGTTTTTAGCGTTCAGAGATGATACTTTTAAGAAGGCAATGGAAAGACAACATTGTAAGGGCGACCCTTGATCGGGCAGCTGGGAATGCAGGCGGTTGTCCTTTTTACGCATTTCGAGGGCATCAGCGTGGGGGAAGTTGCGTGAAATTCGAACTATCAGGACGACCGCTAGATGGCAGCAAACACAGAAAAAAGGAACTCGTGCCTCCCTGATCCGGTCGTCTGAGCTGACATTTCTCCGGAAGTCTGACGCAGTCCTCTCACCCCAGCCCACCATTCCGCACCACCCACCCACCGCCTCCCACTTCTCACGCATTGATGGACTAGGACAGGGGTAGGCAACCTTGGCTCTTTTATGACTCGTGGACTTCAACTCCCAGAATTCCTGAGCCAGCTTGGCTGGCTAAGGAATTCTGGGAGTTGAAGTCCACGAGTCATAAAAGAGCCAAGGTCGCCTACCCCTGGCTAGGACAGGGGTAGGCAACCTTGGCTCTTTTATGACTCGTGGACTGGCTCAGGAATTCTGGGAGTTGAAGTCCACGAGTCATAAAAGAGCCAAGGTTGCCTACCCCTGGACTAGGAACTGAGACTTTTTTTTGCGGAACCGTTCCCTTTCTATGGTAAAAGACCCGCGACCCGGAAGCATATTGTTGTTTGACCCTGGGAACTCTACCGGTTACGGGAAGAGGCGGGCTTGAGAGCTCTGAAGCGCGGCGGCTCTGCTCTAAGGCATCGAAAGCGGAGTCCGTTTCTTTTATTGTCGCAGGATTTCCCGCCCTCTCAAGGGTGAGTCCCAGCGCTTCCAAAAGGCTTCCGCTTACCCGTCCGCGGCGGTCCTCCCTAGGTTTTTTCCATGCGTGAGACCCAGCTCGGAGTAGTGGGAGCGTATTGTGAAGGAGGAAATGTTTCCTCTCTTGCTAGATTCCTGTGATGGCCTTTCATTGTCTTTATTAGGTCCCTATCCCTCTTAATAATAATAATAATANTAATAATAGTAAAGTTGGAAGGGACCTTGGAGGTCATCTAGTCCAACCCCCTGCTCAGGCAGGAAACCCTATACCATTTCGGACAAATGGCTGTCCAGTCTCTTCTTAAAAACTTCCAGTGTTGGAGCATTCACCGCTTCTGGAGGCAGGTTGTTCCACTGGTTAATTGTTCTCACTGTCAGGAAGTTTCTCCTTAGTTGAGTGCCCTCCTTCCTCCTCTTATGGAAGGAGACATCTACCCCAGGCTGCTTAGTCATATTACTCACGTTTGGGGTCTCGCTTGAGCAGTTCATAACCAGCTTTGTGGAAAACATGCCCATTTTACAAAGAGGCACCGTTATGGGAGGTTTAAGTCGAGCCTAGATACACCTAGATCAGTGTTTCTCAACCTTGACAATTTTAAGGCAGTGGACTTCAACTCCCAGAATTCCACAGCCAGCAATGCTGGCTGTGGAATTCTGGGAGTTGAAGTCCACATGCCTTAAAGTTGTCAAGGTTGAGAAACACTGACCTAGATGGCCTTTATTCTATGATTGCTAAATTACCACCCATAATGCAGATGTGAAAACCTTTGGGGAGCAGGTCAGTTAAACAAAACAGGATTCTGCCCAGATTCCAGAATGTCGAGCAATAAAATAAAATACCACAAGCTGAGAAGTTGTGATATATGAGGAAGGAATTGGGACACGTATAAGATTTGAAACATTTCACTTGGTGAAGTGGTATACTATTAAATAGATAAAAGCTAAACTGGTGAATGAAAGACCCTTTGGGGTTTGAAATAAGAGCACTGCAGACTGTACTGTTAATCATGTAGAAACGTAATGTCCCTATTATCTACAGGAAGATAATATTTTGTAATGACCATACATTTTCTTTATTAGTTATTACTGTGCTAGTAATTCTAGTATTATGAATTACTGGATTTATTTTTATGATTAGATTTATTTTACTCATTCTTTTAGAAAAAATGAAATGACTGACGTAGATATAAATTCTCAAATTACTTTATTTTCTCTGTTTTGTGTGTCTTTAGTTCACTATTCAACTCGTCCTCCATGGCAACGTGGAGCCGTGAAGCTGTGCTAAACCTTTATCGTGCACTGTTGCGTCAGGGACGTGGCTTGCGCTACACGGATCGTGACTTCTATCTCAGCTCGATCCGGAAAGAATTTCGCAAGAACCAGCACCTTACGTCCCCAGAAGATAAAGAGCGACATTTTAAAAAGGGGCAGTTTTTTTTGCACAGTAAACTTGGAGGACTTATTTAGGAAATTCTTTTTTTCCCTTGTCATTTTTTTTCTTTTATTTTCCTTAATTTATTTAGTAATTTGAACTGGATGGTCAATATCAAGTCTGCTGCAAATCTGTAAAAAACCAGTTCCCCAAAGTATCCTACATATACCCCTGGGAGCATTTCTCCTTCCTTTTTGCAGATGCATTAAGCCTCAGGTAATATATATAGAGAGATGTATTTTGCTATTTTAATTATTCATTATTTGTACAGATAAAAAGCTGATCTTAGTAATTAGATTACTGAGTACTAATCTGAGTAATTAGAAATTAATTTTTATAGTAATAAAACAATTCTAGCATGTTTGAAATTGGCATTATGAAGAGTGTACTGTATATGCTAATAATATTACAAAATTAATGTTTACAGTACAGAGGATGGAGAAATTTATATCCAGGTTTTGTTCCTGTACTGGCAACTCTTATTTTGACTCCCCTTAAATTCTGGAAATACGTTTGTCTAAGATGCATCCATTGAAATATTGGTTCATAATTTTACAGTTCTAGGCTTTTTGTGCAAGTATAACTTGTCCGTCTGCATTTTTTTTTTCCTTGATGTTGTTTGCAATTATGTTTTAGTAGTCCTTTTTCAGAAACTCCCTTTCAACATAAAATCCTTTTTTTAATTAGTTTCTGCTACTGAGGAATTCTAATAGCTCT